TGTCTTACACCATAAAAGTAAACATGTACTTATAGTGTGTGTCAGGATGTGTCAGGATGTAATTGGACGTTCTGGATTGTGTGATTAATGGTGACAGGATGTTTATGTCACAGAAATGTGTGCACATTGATACATTTCTGTCTTTCAGGAAGTTTGTCATTTTTTTGTGAAAGTTTTGTCTGAACAGGAAGATGATGAACTGAAAAACCATCTGCTGCTTAAAAAGAAAAGCGACAAGTTGTTGCCCAACAGTTGAGCCTTTATATGATAAATAATTATCTTTTGGCAACCTAAGCATTTTTCTGTGCGTTGTTTGGGCCATAAAAGACAGTGTTGATGATAATGTGTGCTGTGATAAGGTTTGACCCTGTGGTACCCTGGTACACTAATCCACCTCCATGGCACATATTCAGGTTTCCATGGAAGCTCTTTCCACTTCACCACACACAGATGATGTTTTTCCACTGAGTTGTGGATGTGGCGGTACATCATGTCTTTTTATTTAATGAACTATCTTATTCACACACTAAAAATTAAAATACAATATATTGCAGTTTAGCAGATATTATATCTAGAAAAATGTAAATGTTAATTAATAAGTGGAGAGACACAAGAAAAGTGGGTCATATCCAAGAAATCTTGATCAACTGAATAGTGGCTGTTGTGTTTTCTGAAAATTATCATTATTAATTTACAATAGTAAGCATGATTTAGGTTATTTCACACCTCTAGTAACTGTGCATACTGTAGTGTAGTGGTGCCTAAAGTAAACAGCCTCTGTTATAAACAGTGACATATAAGACTCCTCTTGCATATTTAGTCAGTTCATACTAGCCAATAAGAGACAGAGTATAGGGAGGGTCGCCCCTTCACCATCCAAGGAAAAATTGCAGCATACTGCTGAATATTGTCAACCAATCAATAGTGTGAATCAGAGGAGATTTAGAAGTGGGTATACCCTATGGAGACTGAAATAAGTGGTTATACTCTAATACCTGTGTATACCCTGCACTACACCAGTGCATACACAGTGAACTGTACAGTCAATAGTGAAACCCTGCACAGACTCTTCTCTAATCTAGCAACAGATTGTATCGGTCAACAAACTAATACACAAACTAACCAAGTCATAACCCTGAGCTATCTCTCCTGAGCTGTATGTACTGAAAGACTCTCAGGCTGTTTCAGGTGTTCACACATCCCCACCAAACCCAAACACACACATAATAAGATGTATCCATGTTACACCCGGGGAAATCCCTGGAAAAGCTGTCCACAAACATATGATTAAGTGTTGACCAAACTCTACACTCAAAGGCAAAGACACAGGTACACTCCCTTTCCCACATATTGTGTGAGGAAGTCTCACACAGGACAAAACACAACATGACATAATGTAATACAAAGCAACAGGTATGTTACAACATAATACAATTCAATGCATTACAATACAACAAAACGATATAGAATATTACATGCTACGGCACAATACAAACAATGCATTATGATGCAAAACAATATAGAAGAGTGTGGTATATACATTACGAAATTATATGATGTAATAAGATACAAACGACATGTTATGTTACGACATGAAGGGATGGCAAACGATTGCATTACATTTCATTGCATTACAGTTTATTGCATTACATTACTTGCGTTATACATTGCGTTATGTTATGTTACGTAGCGTTACATTAGATTGCATTACATTGCATTACAATACATTGCGTTACAGTACATTGCGTTACAGTACATTGCATTACATTACTTTGCGCATACGTTACATAACATTACATAACATTGCATTACATTGCATTGCGTTACATTACATTAATAACAGTACATTGCAGTACATTACGTTGCGTTACATTGCATTGTTTCACGTTGTGTTATGGTATGTTACGTAGCGTTACATTAGATTGCATTACATTGCATTACAATACTTTGCGTTACAGTACATTGCGTTACAGTACATTGCATTACAGTACATTGCATTACATGACTTTGCATTGCGTTACATTACATAACATTACGTTACAGTACATTGCATTGCATTACATTTCATTGCATTACATTACATTGCGTTACATTACGTGGTTTCACGTTGCGTTATGTTATGTTACGTAGCGTTACATTAGATTGCATTACGTTGCATTACAATACATTGCGTTACAGTACATTGCGTTACAGTACATTGCGTTACATTACTTTGCATTGCATTACGTTACATAACTTTACGTTACAGTACATTGCATTGCATTTCATTGCGTTGTTTCACATTGCGTTATGTTATGTTACGTAGCGTTACATTAGATTGCGTTACAGTACATTGCGTTACATATCTTTACGTTATGTTACAATACATTATATATTACATATTGGGTTACCTTGTGTTGCGTTACGTTACAACAGACTCTGCTGCCCAGATGAAAATATTTCTTAGACTTGAATGCTGTACACATTAAGTCATCTTCACAGTTGAGCTGATACATTTAACACAATAAAATGATACAAACATAAACAGAGAAGCAGAGTAGCATAAACCAATCAAAAGCACTAATCACACATAACATTACTAATACTGAATATGTTCCATATAATACACAAGAATGTGTGAAGGTGACAAGTGATGAGAACCCCTAAAAGCTATCCTTACGACCCCCAACAGCCTCAAGTAACTGTATTTTACTGCAGGGCTGCATGAGTTGTACTTTGAATATTTCAGGGGGGAAAAAAATACCTCCTAGTTTTGTTGTGGAACTTTTGCACCCTGGACCCACAGAACTGTGCAAGATTAGCAGACAGTTTGGTTGTATTACAGTCCAATAAATTGCAACCACACATATCTGCATGGCACTCACACCATTTGGTTGTTTCATGTTTCACTGGCTGCATTTACATGCTCTGCCCGCTGGCACATGCGGCCTGCTGGCAGCTGGTTGCTCGGCACAGGGTTAATTATATCCAGCTTCACTGCTTGACACAGAGACGCACTTTTAGCTCTCCAGAATCAGTGATGATGTTGACAGCTGCCCTGACTGTGAGTCACCTGTTCTTTTCACACAGAGGTACTTCACTTCTGCTCTGGTCAGACCAGCGAGCAGTGAGGAGAAGACTTGTGAGAGTGTGACACTCGGCTGCACACATGACAGCAGGGCCAAACGTGGCCCGCTGAAGAGGAACGAGAAAGATGAATCACAGAGGGTTGACAGCCAGAGGGAAAGAGGTAGTGGAGCTTTTCTTTGAGAGCTGGAATTTATTAGTTTTGAAGTGAAATGGGTGGCTTTCCCGACTGTTCAGTTACTTCATGTTGCTCATTTGTTTCAGTGAATGAGAAGAAATCAATGAAATAAAGATGTCCCATTAGACAGTTATGTTTCATCAAAAGGGCTTCTCTTTTGATGAAGGTCACTCATGTTTAAGATATTTAAGAGTCTAATTTATCTATAAACCATATTTTATGATAGAAAAACAAACTTTTTTCTGAAATCCAGCAATGAAACAGGCTGACTGGGTGGCCCTCTCTGTCTCTGTGCCACACCAGTTGGGGTTAAGGAGCACAACATACGCCAGCAATCACCTGCAGACAGGGACGACTTTCTACCGACAACTAAAACCCGCTACACACACACACATGACCTAGTTCCATCTCTGCTGTTGTTTAATTAAACTCCTCTTCACATCTCTCTTCTCCGGCAAATGTTTTCTTAGATTCTTCAAGGCCATGGAGTCGGAGGGTGAAATGCATCCCAGCTGCTGTGATGCTTTGGCTGCAGCCTCTTGCCAGACACTGGGCAAGAAGTCTAAACATCTGTTTTATGTTGGGTTAAGATATATAGGTTGCTATACTGATGCACCTCAGTGATTAAAAGACAACTAAAGTAAAAGATACATATGAAAAATTACAACAAACATTGAAGTCATTCTCTTTCAGGAACATGACATACTTTTCACATGTACAGTAAACAACCAACTTTTCTTCATTTCCTACTTTTCACCTCTATCTGACCTTCTGAAAACAGAAATAATTATATTAACAGTCTGTCTCTCGTTGTTTTAAACTATAAAAACACTCAGTAAAAGTAAAAATGATAACCCTCCCAACAAATATTCATGAGTAAGTTACTTCTCCAACTTTGAGAAGATACAAGATACAGAAAAACTCAACATTTAGAGCACACACTGTTTTCTTTGACAGGTGAATAACATCAGCCTACAGGGAGAAAATAAAAAAGCAGACTTTTCTGCAAAATATAGGTTCCTAAAAGCAATTTTTGAGGACCTTACATCAACATCCTCACTTTCCTGCACACAGTAGTAACAGCTGGGTGCAATCAGACTCTGACCTCAGCTGTCACGGTCCATCCTCCGTGATCGCTGACCTTGGGGATATTTTATCCAGTTTTTAATTTCAATAATTACAGGCAAAAAGTATAACCCTGGGCACATAACATCATGTCATCAGCAGAGCCAAAGGAACATTTAAGCACACTATGGACGAGGATTCTTGTTTTAAATGGCTATTAACAAGGTGGAAAAAAATATTTGCGCTAAAGTCCAAAAGACTTGTTTGATTAAATAGGAGTCAGACTCCAGCAAGATGGAGAGAGGACAACGCAGATAGTGATTTAAAAAATAAAATAAAAACCTTGCTCTCTGTGTACTATGCTTTTGTATACATTACATGGCCTGTTTGTGAAAAGGCACTTAGTTTACCAGCTACCACTATTTATCTTCTCCACATTTAATTCCAACCCCCTCCACATCACTCACACACACATTGCAGTGTTGTAGCCTGTCTGAACACGTGGTCACAAGCATCTCTTCATTGTTTCCATGAAGGAGTTGTCCAAATAGATGACCTCAACTATTGCTGATTTTTACTGTGGTCTATATCATAGTTTGACATGAATCTGTTCAGAGTTGACGAGCTCATTTGAATACCCTGGTATGGGAAGACGATAAATATTTAAATATAAAAAAGAATCAAAAAGAAATTCAACGAAGCTGATATTTTTATTGACCAAATGTTACAGTTCCACTGTTACATCCTACAAAATTCAAACAAGTTTGTTCATACAAGCACTGCTTGTAATATTACACAACCTAAGGGTTATGATGCATACTGATAAATAAGCTACCAGTGACTATGGAAAAAGTATTTTCACGGATCCATCCTATGTACAGATGTAATGCTCAATAAGAAAAAGAAATAAAAACATAAAAAAGGCCTTTCTTTTATGGTTAAACTGAATTATGTTCTGACTATAGCGTACCATCTTTATTTACATGCTGCCCCCTAGTGGCACAGCCTAACTCCTGCCTTCTACTCTCTCAGTTGGAGGGTTAAGTTTCAGGTTTAACAGGAAAAGGTCACAGCTATGAAAATGACAACTTGTCCTGCACTTAAACTGGCCTCATAATCAACATTCCTACATAACCCTGACTTACACAGTCCATACCTTCAGCCTGTAATGTAACCACCAACACACAAGTGACAGGCAGCGTACAGTCAACAAAACAGATAATCCCACAGATGAAAGCATCCCAGTTATTAATACTTCAATCCAAAACCGTGCTTGGCAGAAGCTAATTTGATTTTGGTATAATGTATATGACAAAGCAACAAAGTAGATGTGATCATATGTGTGGAAACTAAGGCTACACATTTCTGACGATTACTATTCAGTCATAAAATGAAAAAGCTGTGCCGCATTCATTCAGCCTCTTCTCCTTATTTGAAGTCTCCTAAAGTGATGGCCCACACATCAAGCAATTTACCATTTAGTCTCAGAGTTCATCAGGTGTTCAAGTCACTCAGAACTGTTCACAGATTTTACAGCAGAAACCTCCATATGTGTACATGAAAAATAAAACCAACAACATGTTGTCCCTATTCCAACTCAGATTGCTCAGTCATGACATAAGACTAAGTCGTAAACTGACTCCCTATCTAAGCATGCAGCTTCAGTAAATCTTTACTTTTGCTTCTGTTCCTCTTGCATCCACATTTGTATTTTGAGTATCAACAGACCCGTTTACATAAAGATATGATCAAGAACTGATGAAACACTGTAGCTGTGATGTATGGCTTTGTGTTCTGTGGAAGGTGTGGAGGCATGTTTGTGGGCATTTTTGTAAAAAGGTGTTAAAAAAATATCTCTATATTGTGCTTCAAAGTATTACTAAGATATACCTCCAGTGTGGAGACACCAAACAGTAAAAAATAGCGAATGACAGGGCTGCTAAAACTCACAGAACATAAAGACCCTTCAGGTAATGCTAATTTAACTCATCAGTGACATCTTGAGATACCAAATGAAATACACAGCATGACCACCACTATGAAAAAGTTTGTATAGCAGGAAACACTGCCAGAGATGCAGAGCAGCAACAGGTTCAGCAACACCTCGGGTTCTTTAAAACTCAGGGAAGTGGGATAAAGCCAAGGTCCGGTACATCGCCCAGAATTAAAGTGGCGCGAGTCATCGACGGGGAGGGAGAAGCCAGTCGGAAGGCCGGGTTAATGGAGTGCAGCGAGTCCCTCTTGCTGTTTCTACTGAACGGTGGGCAGGAAGCAGCCACAGGCTGGCCGTCCTGCTGCCTTGAGCAGCCGGCCAAGGGTGAAGCTTCTGCTGAAGGTGCTGTGGCGCTGGAGACCTCCACACTGAGAGGACTGGTCTTTGGTGTCCCAGGAGGACACAGGCTGTGGGAGTCGAAGGAGTTGACCACCCTCTCCAGCACGTCCTTGGTGCTCTGAGTGCACTGTGTGAGGAGGATAAAAACTGAGAAGTCAAGGAAATAGGGGAAACTCATCTGCATCATCAGGTTGTGTTAATGAAGGCCAAACAGGACAAAATGCATTGAAATGGTTAAAATGGTTAGTTTAGAGCTCATCAAGCACAGTGGAAGCAATGAAAGCAATGAAAGCACTGATGACGGTGTGGATTCGAATGGAGAAGCACGTAAGAAGGGAGATAGATACAGACAATGAAGTAAGCCGCTTCTTCTCGTTTTTTCTAGCTCTGATAAAAGGCAGAAGAGGAGTTACAGTGCAGGATCTTTTCTTGCTTACACATCACCATGCATGCACAAAAACAACCCACACATGATTCAAGAAAACATCCTGTCCAACTACAGAGAAGTCAAGAGTAAGATCGTCAGCCTTCAAACAACAGATCCATCCCTTGCCGAGTGAGAGTGAATGTTAGTGAGAAGACAATGAATGGTAGTGAAGCATGCACATTCACAAGTAAACCACAATCACAAGATCTGCCTGGACTTAGTCATATTAGAAGTAACAGGAATACAAAGCATTATATTAATAAAAAATAATGGTTGAGATGAGTATGATTCCACACGATGTATGTTACGAAAGAGACACAGTGAGTGGGCTTTGAAGCGATGTTGAGATTGGTTTAATACTCAACCCTACTCTTACCATCAACCGTCTACATGCAGCAACGCCCTTCAGGCTGTGCAGGAAAAAGCAAAATCCTGACAGTTCTCCTCCTGGCATGGTGGGATGGATACAATAAAACACTGAGAGTCAGATCATTCTTCCTGGGGTTAAAGTAAAGGCACATGAAACAGATAAACCCATTTAGATTCTTAATTTTACCCCACTGAATTAACATAAAATAAATCATAAAAACAGCTTAAAGTCTGGAAAGATGAACGCTGAAGCAGACTCAAAACAGAGACCAAAATACAAAAATAGTGTTTATTTAAAATATATAGGAACAACTTTAAGGTAAATAAAACAAGGTAAGAGACGTAGAGGTTTCTTTTTTTAAAGAAAATAAAACAGAATAGTTAAAAAATAAACCAGTTATTGAAGGCGTGTGACATGATCTGATAAAGTGCTGACACAAAATACAAAGCAGAAAACCAGTTCTCTGTGTTCACACATAGCCACTCAAAAACACAAGCAAACCCAGTGGTACATTAACAAGGAGGTAGGAACAGCAACCTAAATGTGAAGGCAAACACAATCAACAATAAGTGTAACGATGTAACATGTTTAGTGTCCCACGACACCGGATTACTATAATACATCTGCAGCACAGTGACAGGCTAACTCAGCAACACTCGAACATATAGGTTTTATTTAAACAGCTCAATGGTGCCAAACAGTGCTACAGGTGGCTTCCAGGACATGTTGCTTCTCTTGCTCGAAGAACAAACTACACAGAAGTTTTATTCCAGCTGGCTTTGTTATGATTCATTCACTCTTCAGTTAAGGTTTCTGTTAAATGTCAGCTCTTAAATTAGCAATTACTTCTGTGCTTTATGTTGTGTGTCAGTTCCAAGGAACCACAAGCTGACTCCTGGTCATTTTACTCCAGCCCACTCAGGATTACCTTATATGACATTCATTATTCAAGATCAATCTTTCATAACACTGGACACACAGTCAAAGTACTGCATGTTTGCTCTGCTTGAGGGGCTGAGGCTGGAGGTCTGGAGGATGACGGTGTGGACACATACAAACAGAGGATAAGGCACATGGGGGGGGGGGGGGGGCTAACAACAACAACACTGGAGCTATTGGACAGTCACGACTCAGGAGGGAGCACAAGCTGCTTCATCCTACCATGTGTGAGTCGTTCTTGGCTGTGAAGGGAGGCAGCTCGATCTCTGAGGCTGAAACGACGGGGATCGCTTCGTCAGAAAGGAAACCTCGTCTGTCGATCAAACTGGACAACAGAACACAGGTTAACGTTAAAGCACGCTGTAACTGATGCTTTTATTTTGAAATGTTAATTTTGCCTTTTAAAAAAAAAGGTATGTCTGGTTAAACAAACACAATCACAGATATAAGGGAGGGAGATCTCTACTAACCTTGGGGACATGGGTCCACATAATGTTGCACAACAGTTTGTGATTATACTGTTGTAAGTGTACGGGTTCCCAGAATCCTCTGCACCCTGTTTACTTGACCAGGAGCCCTTTATCTGCACAGCACGTACATAAAGTAAGCTATCAGTGAGTGGGTACAGCTTACTTTGAACTTTCAAATATATTTCAAATATTCATACTTACATCTTCATTTGTTGTGAGGTTGGAAGCTATCAAGTAAGTATGGAAGCCTGAGAGGCCCAAAATAGACCAGATGGAGAAGAAACAAATCACCAACTCCACCACAGTGCAAAAGGACGAGTTAAGGCATGATGGTATAACCAGCAGAACGCAATAAAAACTGATCATAAAAAAATAAGACAACATATGCGTGTGCAGCAGCAATTACAGAAAAGTCAATCAATCGTTCAGCTTTTCTTTTTTTTTTTTTTAAATGAGGTCAAAATGGCAGCAAACAAGCAACATGTCAAGAATCCAGAACGACACAGACATAAACTGTGATGTCATGCACATTATGCGTACCATGAGTAAATTAACTCACACCCTGTCTAAATATCCAAAGGAACCACTCAGTAGTCATGCAGTCTATATATGTCTAGCCACTGACATCATCTCACCGGGACATGAGGCAGCAAACCTCCTACTGGGAAGTCGTCAGCCTGAAAACACTGCTTTGCTAATGCTAACTCTCTGATCCTATTAAGCACGAGCTTACGCTGAAGAGCAGCAACCAGAATTGCAGTGTCAATAGTGTTACTTGTGTTACTTCTTGGCACTATAAAGTAGCAAGACAAAACAAACTGTTCTAATACACGGGTTCATTATGTTATACTTAAAAAATAAGGATATCTGGCAGGGCTCTCCTGGATGGCTTGAACAATGCTTTTGCCTGCTTGAGTTCCTGGAGAGGAAACAAACAAAAAAAAAATCATACACATGGAAATCTAAAATAAGAGTTTTAAGTGTGATCATCTTTATACAAAGTAGGAATACTTACGCAGGGTGATGTGTGTGATGACACAGCCAAATATAAAAGATGTCAGAAAAGACAGGGAGATGATGAAGCTGTAGAAAAAGCGGTAATTGCGTTTGCCCACACAGTTCCCCACCCATGGACAGTGGTGATCGAATCGCTCTGGGGAATTTAAAAAAAACGCACACATACCAGCAATTAGACACATCTTCCAAATAACAAAAGTAAAAGACTTAATACCCAACTAGACAGGAGTCAGGTGTCCATGAACAATCCTGGCTTTATTCAATTATTTAATTCCAGTGTAGTGACAGGTGGGCTAGATCTCACACTCTTGGTTGTGAGAAATGAAAAAGTTTATTGTGGGTTCCTTTGAGGATTTTTGGATAGAGACTTGAAGTAATCTAAATCTATACCTTGTATTACTACAGAACTTTACATTTGCCCGAGGGAAACACAGTCTATGGCTGCAAAAGCTTGTACAGACCCTCTCTTTATGGTGAACTACCTCCATCCTGCTACATATGAAGCAAACTAACAAAAGCTCCCCAGCTAAGCAGTGCATGCAGTTCCTTCTTGCTAGTCATTTTAAGATGCTCAGAATTAGTGCAGGTGGGTGAAGTGTTTACGTCTTACAAAATCCTTACCCACACAGTTGTCACACAGGCTGCAGTGGGAGGTCCGAGGGGGGCGAAACGTTTTACAAGTGAAGCAGTATTTGAGCTTTACCACCTGCTGGTTGATGAGGATCTCCTTGGTCCGCGGAGGAGGGCGATACGTAGAGGATCCTGAGGTATCTTAAAATAGAGAAGCACATGACGCAGGCTCAATGAGACTTCACTATCAAAACAGCCCGCCCCCCCTACAAACCCTTAAATAACACAATGACCAAATAATAAACACAAAAAAATATAGGTCCATCTCTTGCAGTCTTCGCCTATCATAGAAAATAAGCTGCTTAGGTCTTTGCCTGCAGTTCAACAACAACATGGTCCTCACATATCCCCCCCCCATATGGCAAAGCTCTTTTACCCCATCTGGCCCACAGCGAGTGTGCGTGCATGTCCATGGTTTGACTTACCGATCTGCTTCTCTATGTCTGCTGCTTCATCTGGGGTCGCCCTTGGTAGGATGCCTGGATCTGTAAAGCTGGTTCTCAGCAGGGACAAGACCACAAATAGAAAAAGTACCCCACCTATCACAGGTATGAAGACGGTCAGATGCTTCACCAGAAATGGGCAACTGTCAAGGGGAAAAAAAAAGACCACCCATCTTTAATCCCAAAAGATAGAACACTGCCAACAAAATAATCGTTATGGATCTACAAAGCATGTAGGATTTTGCTAGAAAGCATTTAAGGAAATGTCCAGGTACTCACTCGAATGCAAAGAAAAGGCCACATGTGACAACAATAAGGCCCAGGGTCAGAGGAAGGATGCCGCTTTGTCTGGCCACGATGATCCGTCCATCGCAGAAAAACCTGTTCTTCCCCGGGAACACTTCCCACTTCCTCCGGGGACGCTGCACTTTCTTCTCGTTGTGGTTCTGAGCCGACGAGGGCAACACCGACAGAGCCCGAGGGTCGATCTGCTGATACTCGCAGTTCTTCATCATGTAAACAATATCCACACGCCTCCCGAGGTACGCAAAAAAAGGCACAAAAGAAACTCTCCTTTGTCGACACGTTGTCCAGGGGAAAGCACTCTCAAGATTCAGTCATTGTACACTGAGATTTTTGCTTGTTCGGTTAGCGTTCAGATGCCCATTCTGAATGCTAACGCTAGCTCGCTAGCTAGCGCACAAACAAACCCATTCCTGTCCGCTGCAGACTTTCACTAGATGAATTAGTTCGAGGCTAACTACCATGTTTGGTAGTTAAACCAAAGCCATTCTTAATAACAGATTATAAACTCGTCTTTTATCGCAGAATTACTCCAGTAAACGGGCTTCTGCTCAAGCTTCTTGCGGCGACTCACACGTTTCCTTTTTTTTTATAATTACAGTCAGTACGTAGTGACGTCGATGCTGACGTACACACAGAGGACTCACCGCGGACTTGACACGGCTCAAACACTTCCGGTATGCGAGAATATGATTTGTTAGATCGATTCATTTTCCAGCCTCTGTTAACTTATGATCCGTCTCTGGTGGCATATTGAAAGCTTTAACATGGAAAGCAAACACACTCGCATCAGATATCATATTGAATAGAATTACTTTATTGATCCCAAACTGGGAAATTGTGGTGTTACAGCAGCAGGCTATCCAACACACAATATGAGTAAAAAGCACAATGTTAGCAAATTTAAACACAATATAATATTAAATACAAAGTAAATAAGTACTAAAAATATCAAAACTAAGAATGGGAATATATACAACCAGGATTTAACTAAGCATTACTGGTCTTAAATAGGAAGATTAAATATGGAAGATTGAATGTAAATGTGCAAAAACAGAGTCGTAAATGGACAGTATTGATATAAGTTAAAGTGCATGAGTGTAGACATTTAATAAGCAGAAACTACACAATATAACGGCGAGTAGACAGACAAATGAAGTGAACATGAGTGCAGGGATCATTTGTAAATTTAACATGTGCAGAACAGATGACAGTATGGAGAGACAGATATTATCATGATGACAGTTCTCTGCTCGCATGAGGTGAGCTGTTGCACAGAGTTATGGCCTTCGGTAAGAAAGATCTCTTGTATCTGTCCTTGTGACAGCGGAGTTGTATGTATATTATCTTCAAAACTGTAGTCTCACTAAGAAGAAGTGTTAAAAAATATTCACATTAAGAACACTTACAGCCGGTGTAAACACCATAACCTGTTTCTTCATGTCAAGATTAATTTTAAGATAGGCCTGTCTTTAATTTGATGAAATCCTTATTACGGGATGAGGAGGTGTCCTTATTTGAGAACAGCATTAATCTACAGGGAGATAGTGTAAATCAAAATCTGTGAAGACACAGTTTAAGTGGGGACATTGTTTTTCAGCATTTTGATCTTCATTCAAAGACATTAGAATATTATGTGTTCATCGGGTTTGTTAAATTCCTCGTAGGATCCTTCCATTATACCATTAGTCTATAAGTCTTTTCTATAGTCTCACTTTGCAATGATGGATAAACCTCAATCTGTGGTATATTGTATCGCTCTGCAGGAAGCCAAACAAGTTACAGACGACAGTAAACGGACAAAAAATACAGTCACAAAAACGTCATCAACATAGCCCAATTAAAAGAGGTAAACATAAGTTGACATGTTTCAGTAAGCTGATGGTGTTAATTGTGTCTACAGCAACCCCTGCACCTCTACTTCCCTCCTCCATGACGCGGCCTCCTGACAAAGTTGAGATGGATTATGGAGGAACCCACAAAGGCTCCAATATTTGGTTTAATGCTACCACTTTCCCCTTTCGAATCTGGATCTCATCTTTGTTTCTCCCTCTTTCTCTCTGTTCCTCCTTCCTTTTTTTCTCTCAAATGAGCTAAGCATGTTGTTATGCACATCTTATTATTCAGAATTTGCAGCAGCAGTTTATTGCACTCCCCTGCTGTTTCCCTTATCAATGTTGGCATGTTCAGAAAGAATTAGCCTACATGATTTGGCCCACCAACTGTATCATAAAAATAAACCAGATGGATACAGTGGATATTTTGGGCAGTACTTATAAATACGTTATTAGCTACATGACAAACTGAAAAGACATTTTGAGACATTTACTAAGAAGGTTTTAGGGTCCCCACTGAAACATAACTAACTGCCCCGTTGTGACGTATCATCATCTCTCAGTCTTTACAAACAGCTCGCTGGTGACCCACAGGTTTTTCATTGACCTCTTTGTTAAAGAGGTTTTTTTTACCACCTCAAAGACCTCATCACAGACCCTCTCCTGGACCACATACAGTTTGCTTACAGATACAACAGGTCTGTAGACAGTCCTGTCAACCTGGCCCTCCACTTCTCCCTAAGTGTCTGGACTCAGCAAGAATATTCTCCAGGGTCCTGTTTGAGGATTTCAGCTCTACTTTCAACAACATAATCCCGGCTCTGCTACAGGACAAGGTCTCCCAGCTGAATGTGCCTGACTCCCATCTACAGGCAGATCGCTGACTTCCTGTCTGGCAGAAGATAGCAGTTGAAGCTGGGGAAACATGTCTGTGACACCATCAGAACCATCTTTCTCCTCTCCCTCTACACCAGCATCTTCCCCTCCAGTCTCTTCTTTTTTAAAGTATGCTTGTTTTAGGGACTGAGTGCAGATTGCTGAAATGACCATTACAATCATCTGAGTTGCATTTCATTGTTTCATGAACAACAGCAACCTCTAGTGGTTTGAATTAAATGTCATCAGTGTACTAAAAGACAAAGAAAACCTGTTCATACAAGTTGCAGTAAAAAAAAAATTAAAAAAAACTTTTTATGTTTGAATGAACTCGGGATTGTTTTTCACATTTACTTTAATCTTTAAATTCAAAGCTAAACTTGCCAGTGCAACTTTGGCAGTTATTATCCTGTACATCAAAACACAATACAGCAGTTTTACATTTATGCCTAAAAAAGCCCCCCTCCCCCACATTTAAAGTAAACTTACATAGAGGATGATTTAACGTCAACAAAATGTTTATTTTTTAATTCATTCCCTAAAGTCCCAAAACTCTAACTTGGAATGATTTTCCAGACATGCAGTGCAAAATGACTTAGGATAAAATTGTCCTTAGACTGTTGCAAACACCATTAAAACAGAGATGTGTAAATCTAATTTGTTTTCTAGCGCATGAATAAATTGGCATACAAAAAAAACCTTATTTAAGTCAATACTTTCTATGCAGGACTTGGCGAAAAACTCCTAAAATGAGGCGGAGTATTGTTACTTTTCTCTACTTTGATTTTTTTTTTTTACTGAAATTGTGGCAAAAGCTATTTCTTTTTATTCTAAAAGGAATAAATAATGGCAAATCCTTTTTTTTTTACCTGGAATAATCTGCATTATACTATTGCAATGAAAATATTACAATTACTGGTATTTAAAAAAAAAAAACATTTCTTATCATTCAAAGTTTGGTATACTGCCAAGTCCTTCAAATAAATATTGCATTTAAAGCTCAGAGTAACAAACTATGTCCATGGCAAGAAGTTGCAATGCAGAGCGAGGCCCAGCAGCCAGTAAGAGAGGAAGTATCCCAGGATGCTTTGCGTGGTAGGAGAACAGGTTGTAAAATGTGGCAGCAGAGCGATGATGGGGTTTTGAGGTTTGTGATCGCATCCATTTCTGGATTGAGTCTGTAGCTGCACATTGGGATTTGATGTTTTCCTCCGATGAAGAAGAGGTTCATTGAGGAGGAGCAGATGAGCACTGATCCAGAACGGCACCGGAGACGAGGAGGCCATGAATCTGGTCAGAACCTAAAATTGTTAGATCAAATAAATAACAGTTGTTTTTATTACAACCAGACAGACATCAATGTACAATGAGAAAATGATTAGATGGTTGACTTACCTGCACATGCATGCACAAAGTTCCAAACACCAGAAGAACTGTTGAGTGAACAACATACACAAACACTCGGGGGTTGAACATTCCCGGGGTGGGTTTGTCAAGTCCTTTATTTGCACTTGTCTCCCAAAGTCCGAGCCTCAAACACAGCTCTGGATTAGCTTGAAAGTATGCATAAGCTGCCATGATGCCGAGGTTAGCCATCGGCAGAGCCAGGATGAAGTTCGGTATCTGCCTCAGCTCAAAGTAGCGGAGGAAGCCCACATCCCAGTACACATCCTGGATGTGAGAGTAAAGCAGTGGGAGTGGTCTCATGCACCAGAGTGGTGGTGGACCGTTTTCATCTGGGACTCGGTAGCCCTTTCGTTCAGCCAGTGACAAAAGAGGAGGGGGAATCCGTTCCAAGGAGACGGATGGCGTGCAAAACGTCCTGTACCCGTAGTACTGGAAAGCACAGAAGGGAATAGCGATTATTGCAGTTCCCAAGAGGGAGGTTAGCAAGAGGCGGATAATGACCCAAATATATCTGAAGACTTTACTATGGCCTTTTGTTGTTGTGCGATACACACGGATCTGGGAGATGGCGTGCAGAGATGGAACATAGAGTAGAAATCCTATGTTAACAAGTCCATTGGATCGTGCTGCGGTGGCTATGCTGAGGGCCAGGCATGCTCGGAGAGTGAATCCTTTCTCCAGGAGGAACAGGCCGCCAAATGTTAGCGCCGCAAACAGGCTCTCTGAGTATCCAGCGGTCATGAAAACGTTGGCTGGTGTGATGCAGTAGAGCAGGCTGGAGAGAAGAGCGAGACGCTTGTCCTGTAAAACGATTCTGCTCAGCGCGTGCAGGGCCACCACACTCAGCAGGAAGAGGGCACTGTTGCCCAGAGCAACTGCCACCAACAAACGCCCCCGCACGCTCAGCCAGCCGCTTACGGGCCACAGGAGTGTGTCGGCCAGGCCTCGCAGGACCACGGGGAAGAGGGGGAAGAAAGCAAAGTTGTGCTCGTAAAGGTATCCTCTCTCAGCGATGAAGAGGAAGTGCTCTGCGTCCCAGTGCGAGAGGCCCCCCAACAACCACTCCACTGTGGAGTCCAGGTAGAGGGGCTCCTCTGTCCGCGGGGGCCTGAACGCATCAGCATCATGGTCAGGGATGGCAGCATTCAAGACAGCCTTAGGAGAAATGTTGTACAAAATTATAATTCACATTCCTTAAGATTCTCCAACACAGTTTTGCTTTCATGTCCTACTAAACCATGTAGTATGTTTCCCCCTGAGATCTATTCATTTGCCACCACATACAAACATATAAGGAGAACAAACAGGGGGTAAAAGGTTAAAACTAGGTTAAGACTATGTCCTCAGATCTAACAAGCCTTAAACTTACTTGTAGAAACAGCGACAGACATCTGGTGACTGTTGCAAACTCCAGAACTGCTCTGACATCCATAGTCATTGATGTGACGGACAAGATCTGAACAAGCCGGTTTTGAC